TAACCCCTGAGCATCGCCGGGTGTGACCCAAAAAGAAAAAAAATGACTGCTGTCCTCTCAAGGCACTCCCCCCCCCATGGCTTTCAGAATCCCAGCAGGAGGCCCTGGAGACCCTCTCGGGAAACAGAGCCACAGCAGTGGGTCCTGCAGCTCACAGGGCCAGGGTCTGTGCTCGCTTCCCAGCGGCTGCCCAGGCCTCTCCCGTGAACAGTTGCCTTTGTGTTTGGTTTGGACTTGGGATGTTAAACAAATAGTGTCTCTTGACAAACGCAAGCTGGCCGCACTGGGACCAGTTATGCTCTGTAAAACAGACAAATCCTCATGCTTGTTTCCTCCAGAGCAGTACCGAGAAAGTGCTCAGCCCTCCCTGGGCCCACACGCCTGCCCCCCACTCACCTCCCCCAGGGATCCCCACCCCCAGTCCTGTGCCAGAGCTGTCCCTTTCTCAGGCCCGCCCCCCAGCATGGTGACTGGACCCCCTTCCCACAGTGAGCCAGGGGCCCCAGAACCAGGCCAGGCTGGAAGAACAGATGGAGCAGTGTTTGCCAAGGGCCTTCTCATGCCAGGGCGGAGGGGCAGAGAGGAGGGGGCTTGCCCTGCAGGGACCAGCATTGCCGGGGAGACTGTGCTAGCTAGTCACGGCAGCGTCGGCACCTGAAGCCCTGCTCCCCCACTCTCAACCCACTGCCCCTCCCCCCTTCAGGCAAAGGAGCCCCCACAGGGGAGAGGCAGAGGGTTCTGGGCTTTCACGCGGCCCGTGAGCATAGCCCGGGCCCTGGCCCACGAAGTTCTGCCGGATCTCACACCAGCTCCATCATTCCGCATTGCAGACCATTTGCCCTTCTGGATTGGTGGAGAGGAAACTGAGGCCAGGTCCAGAGACACCACACAAAGGGTCACAGCATATGCTTTGCATGTGGGAAACCCACATCCACTCCCCAGCACCCCGTGAGCCCCCCAGAGCACTATGCCAGGAGTAGCCCCTGAGTACTGTTGCGTGTGGCCCCAAACGAAACACAGGCTCACTGGAAATGTGTCTGACGCCCAGACGCTGCTGCTGGTACCGCTGGGGCCTGGACATCAAACTCCAGCGGATCTGTGCTCCGGTTCTGCCCCCTCCGCCTGCTCCCTCCGGGCCCCGCGTCTCTCTGGAACCCATTCTGCCCTCAGGCAGGACTCCTGCAGCTTCAGAAGCATCTGTCTGTGGCGCCCTGAGCCGTGAGCAGAGCTTCCCGCCTGCAGCTGTCCGTGGCTCGCTCCCTGCCAACACTGCCCGGCCCCACCAGCAGGCGGAGGCTGCGGACGGCCTCCACGTGGCTACTGAGTACACAGAGAGCCTGTGGGTCCAGTCCGATGAGCAAAGCTCAGTGCTCCCCACCGCAGGAAAACTGGCGTGGACCAGGGGCTCTGTTCCAGAGGATGAGCTAAAGAGGAGGCTGGCAGCCTGGGCAGGAGACATCGCTGCTGAATTAGAGAGAGAGGGCTGAGGAAGGAGAAAGGAGATGTTGGTTTGCATCAGAAGCAATTCAGAAAGCTTCGTGGAAGAAGTGGCCTTGGAGTGGGTCTTGAAGGCTGAATAAGAGTTTAACGGGCAATGGGAGAGTCTAACAGGTACCTGCCTCCTGGTTTACAGCTGCAAGAGCCAGAAGGAAAGCATGATATATGGGGGTGGAGAGACAGCACAGTGGGGAGGGCGCTTGCCTTGGCAGGCAGCCTGCCCAGGTTCAAATCCCGGCACCCACTATGGTCCCCAAGGCCCGGCCAGGAGTGATACCTGAGTGAGCCATGAACCCTGGTAGGTGGCAAAAATATTACATAGTGTGTCTGGAGCTTACAGAGGCTGAGAAGTGAAGTGTGCTGTGGTGGCCAGATGGATGCAGCAATCACAATACTTATGTTCGGCACCGTGGATCCGATCACTGCTGACAAACTTTCCCTCACAAACTCGAGTTTTCAGCAGGGACCCTCTTACACCCACTGTCTTTCCCCTTCTTTCTCCTTCTTGGGAGAACTAGGGAAGTTTTCTTGGAAGAAACAAGCTGGGAAGGTCACGGGATATTATCAGCCAGGGCCACAGTGTCCCGGCCCAACCCTGCATCTAGAGTTATGCAAACTGGCCCCAGGGGCAGAGGCTGGCCCTGAGCCCACTGCACGCAAGGGGCAAGGACAGGACCCCACTCCGGGTTGTCCCCACTCTCCAGCCTATGTTCCCGGCACTGGACAGGATTTCAGAAAACCGTTCCCCAGAGGGCTGGGTGACATCCCGATGGGAGAACGAGGAAATCTCAAACTGGCAGTAACGTCCTCCTCTGGCACCCGAGGCGGGAAGGAGGATGGGCACTAGGGGATGACGGCAAAGCCACAGCTGAGCTTGTCCTTGTCATTGGCAGCAGACATGACTCTTGCGTGGTCAGAGGGTGGGGCAGCCTCACCATGGGGTGAGGGTGTGGGTTGGCCCACGGGGTCCCGGACAGAGGGGAGAGGGTTAGGTGGTGATGTCTGGGGCACAATGCTACCCCTCGGGAGGAGGGGGCCTGGACAGCTGGCCCCTGGGCTCTGAAGCCTGGACTGGTGCCAGCTTGAACCCCACCTCCTGCCCCCCCACCCCATCCTGCCCTCCAAAAGAAAGCAGAGAGGAGACTCAGAGTCCCCGCTGGGCCCCAAGAGCACATGTTCCACGGGTACATGTCCTGGTCCTAACATCTCCAGGGAGCTTCAGGAAAGATCCCAACTTTGAGGTGTGAGTCCTGGGTCCCCCTTCTGTCACTGTGTAACCTTGGGCAGCCCTGGCTCTCCAGGCCTCAGTTCCCTCACTTGTGACATGAGAGGTTGGGGCAAGGCCATCTCTGAAGCAAGCCCCCCACCCCCGCCTCCACAATTCTGCTTTTTAAATTTTTTTTCAGGTGGTTGTTCGGGTTTGGTGGCACACCCAGAAAAGCCCAAGGCTTACCCCTGGCTCTGTGCTCAGGGGCCACTTCTGGTGGAGCTCTGGGGATCATATGGGGTGCCAGGGATTGAACCTGTCATCTGCATGCAAGGCAAGAGCCCTGGCCGCGGTGCTACCTCTCTGGCACCCTCAGTTCCGACGGGCTGCGAGCCGGCTTCATCGTAACCAAGAAGCCAAGAGCAGATGGCGTCTCCCAAAGAGAACGCTTGCCCCTTCCAGAGCTCTCACCCAGAAGAACACCTCCCGGGGCCAGAGGCCACAGCCACAGCACACATCCCGGGCCAAAGTCAGCAGGTCACCTACTCCGGAGTCTAGCTCATGCCTTACAGTGCTCTGCCTGCACTGTCTCCACGCCCTCACCACCCTCACTCCTTCCTCACCATCCTCCTTCTCACCGTCCTCCCTCCTCACCGTCCTCACTCCTCACCATCCTCATTCCTCATCATCCTCACACCCTCACTGTCCTCACACCCTCACTGGTGCACACACCTCTCTTTTCTGTGCAGCTCTGGGCGCCAGAGGAGGCTGTGTTTCCTCTTGCGAAGCCAGAGGATACTCGAAGATCCAGGGGAATGGCCAAAGGAGGGACCCAAAGTCTGTGTCTTCAGATGACCCAGATCTTGGTGTGCCGGGGGCCCTAGGACTGTGACTGAGCCTAAAAATCCCAGACGTCACTGGAGACCCTCATGCTGCCCTGTGGCATGCCTGTGGTCACCCCTGAGCCCTGCAAGCGATCATTCCTGATGCCCATCACAGAGCAGTCATGGAGGAGACGAGGGCTCGGAGGCAGGGCAGAGACGCCCCCTGGAGGCTTTGGGCCTGGCCTCAGTGTCCCCCTCCATGAAGCGGAACTAACAACTCCACCTACCAAGAGTGTTGTGAGAACTGGTAAGACCGAGCGTGGCCCTTGGCCTGGTGCCCAGCAGGAGCCTGACTCAAGCCCAGAGAGAATGGCAGAGGAAACGGGTGGTGGGGGACGCCCGTGTGAGAGGCAGTGTAGGGCCCTGGGGGCACCTGTCACCCCCAATGTGGCCAGGTAGTTTCCTCACCTCCAGCCAGAGCCTTTGGACCTGTGGGGGGGTGGGGGGGGACAGGCGCCCTGCTCTCCTGAGGCCCTCACAGCGCCCCCTGGAGGCCTTTGAGACCTCCCTTGGGCCAGAGACTTGCATCCAGAACATTCTGCTACCTCAGCCTAGCCACACCAGGAATTGTATGGGGCTGAGCAGGACATCCGGGACCAGGGTCCAGAGCCCCTCCTGGGGAGATGAGGACAGGAGACTGGAAACGGGGCAGGTCCCCCTGGCCTCCGAGTCACAGTCACCCCACTGGCCAAGGAGGGAACCAGAGGGGCTCAGCCCGGCCTGCTGGAACAGGGGCGCAGCACAGAGGAGGCCCCCGGGTGGCAGTCCAGGGGACAGGGCAGGGAAGGCGGGAGCCCGGACTGTGTCTCCTCAGCCTCTGCTCCCTCCCACCCCAGGAGGGAGGACAGGCGTGGCCCCGGGGCTATTGACCCACATGTGCCCAGGGGTGCCCAGCTGTGCCCTCCCAGCTCAAGACCGCGTCCCCCTGGCAGCCCAGGAGGGCCAGCTTGAGCGCGTCCCCGCTGCGCCCTGTTAGGTACGTGGCCTCAGTTTCCCCCCACAGTAAAGGGGAGGGGAGCCAGGGGGTGCCTCCCCCAGCCCAGCCTTTCCAGCCGCCCGCCCGTCTCCCCGTGGGGGGTGGGGGCGGGGGCGCTGTCGCTGCCCCTCCCGCGTGCGCGTCCGTGCGTGGCGGCGCGGGCCTCTGGTCGGCGGCCTCTCCGGCAGTCACACCCCCTCTGCCCCTTTCTCCTGCGTCTCCGTCCGACTTCTCCCTCTCCCTCCTCCCTCCCTCCCTCCCTCCCCTCTCCTCGCTCCCTCCCTCTCCCCCTCCCTCCCGCCGCCCTCCCCGCCCTCCCTCGGCGCGGCTCCCCGGTCCTTATTTGGCTGGGCGGGCGGGCGGGCCGGCCGGGGCGGGGGGCGGCGCGGCCGCGGGGGGCGGGCGGGCGGGCGGGCGGTGGGTGGTGCTGAAGGGACAGCTCCGCGGCGTTGGCGTTGGCGCTGGCGCTGGCGGCGGGGCGCGGAGCGGGTGCCCGGCGCGCGGAGCAGCCATGCCCCAGGCCGCCTGCGGGGCAGCAGCAGCGGCGGCGGCCGGGGGCGCCGGGGGCCCGGCGGCGGCGGCCCCGGCGGGACGATGAAGCGGCAGAACGTGCGCACGCTGGCGCTCATCGTGTGCACCTTCACCTACCTGCTGGTGGGCGCCGCCGTGTTCGACGCGCTCGAGTCGGAGCCCGAGATGCTGGAGCGGCAGGTGCTGGAGCAGCGGCAGCAGAAGCTGCGGGCGCTCTACAACCTCAGCCAGGTCGGCTACGAGGAGCTGGAGCGCGTCGTGCTGCGCCTCAAGCCGCACAAGGCCGGCGTGCAGTGGCGCTTCGCCGGCTCCTTCTACTTCGCCATCACCGTCATCACCACCATCGGTAACTACGGCCGGCCGGCCGGGCGGGGGGCGGGGCCCGGGCCGGGGCAGCCTGCGGGGACGGTGGGGGGGGGGGGGATGCGCCGCGGGGTGGGGCGCGGGGTCGCCCGGAGAGGGTCGAGGCTCCGAACCCCCGCCCGCGCCCCCGGAAGCCCAGCTCCAGCCTGGCCAGCCTGCCTGCCCCGCGGGGACCGGGCTCCCCGGGAAGGAGGCGATTCCTGGCCCGGGACCTGACTCCCGCCCGGCCCGGGCCAGCCCGAACTCGTCCCTGCCAGGCTGCGCGAGGGCCCCGGGGATCCGCAAGTGTGTGAGAGGGGCAGGAACGGCCGAGAGAGGCTGGGGAGAGGAGGAGGGGTGTGGCCGGCCAGGCCCTGGAGCAGGACACGGAGTGTGAGCGCCGGCCCCGCAGACCCCCAGGCCCCCAGCGCGCCCCTCCCGCTGCCTCCCCCGCTCCCCACCCTGGGGCGCCGCACCCCCAGCAGGGCCAGCCCTGCAGGGGCTCGGGGAGTCGAGCGCATGTAGGTCCCCCCCAGCTACACGGCACTCGTGGTTCCTGAAACCGCCTGTAACTGCAGCTGTGAGTGCCGCCTGCCGGGATGTGTGAGCGTGTGCGTGTGTGCGTGCGCACACACGCATGTGTGTGTGCGCGTATGTGTGTATGTGGGCTCATCCAGTTCGGAGTTTGGTCTGGCCAGCTGGTGCCTTTAATTTCTTCAGACGGCAGAGTCGGTGCTCCAAGTCAGATCCAGCCCTGTCCACATTCTTCCCCGCTTTCCCAGGGACAGAGTCACCTCGCAGGAATGGCCCCAGGCCTTTTCCCAAGACAGGCAGATGGAGGCGGCCATGCAGACTCTGCCCGGGCAGGGAGAACTCACACGGGGGACACACGGGGGGTTGCACGCAGAGGCAAGTGCGTGCACACACACATACACATACACACATGCGTGTGCAGACACGCGCTCTGCAGTCCAGGGAAACTCAGGTGTGCTAGCCCCAGGTGCAGACAGGCATCAGCACCCCAGCTCCCCACTCTGTCCCCCCACCCCGCCCCGGGAGGTCCTTGGGTGAGCCGCCCCTCTCCTGCCAGGTCTCACGGTCCTCCAGACACCCAGCCCATTTGTGCAATTGGGCTCCTGGGCTCCCCCAGCTCAGGGTGCTTGGACGGCTTCCCCTCCCCCAGCCCTTCAGGATGTCTCCTTGCCCTGTCTGTTCCATCCCATCTCCTCTGATCCCCCTCCTTGGCTTGGCTGCACTCCCAGGGACTCGGTGCCACCTGGCAGAGCCCAGGACAAGATGGCAATGTTTTCCGAGGTGTCCACAGGAGTCGAGGGTAGGTGAGGGGTGAGAGAAGACCCCCCCCCACTGCAGTCTCCCCACTAAAGGGCTCTTCCCAGTGCCCTGTGACTCTCTGTGGACCCCCATGCTTCAGCTAAGTGGCTTCTGGCTTTCTCTCTTAGAGAGGAAGAAAAGGGCTCTCTAAGTGTGAGTGGTGCCTGAGGGGCGTGTCTGCGTCCCCCTGCCCCTGTTGGCTGAGGGACAGAGAGCCAGACCCCTCTCAGAGAGGACCCCTGTTTCCCAGCATGGGCTCAGCCAGCTTTGGTCCGGGAATGCCTGCCTCACCTCCTCCCTGCCACCTGCCGGGGTTGTAGGAATTGTTCTGTTGTCTGGAGCGTTTGCCTGAAGCTCCCCGAAGCTCCCCCCTCCCCTCTCCACCCTCCAGGCTTTGTGTTCTGTGCTCTCTTGCTTCTCCATCCCCCAGATGCTTGTCACCTCCCTACTGAGCCCCCGACTCCAGCCACACTAGCCTAGTGGGGTAAGCTCCCCTCACAGAATGTCCCAAAGCTCAGCTCTGACCATGCCAATGCCCTTCCAGAAACCCCTCGGGAGCCCCCCTGACTGTGATCCTCACCCCAAATGCCAAAGACCTTCCTCCCGGCTCCATCTCTCGTGTCTGACCTCATTTCTCCCGTCTCCCCTCCACGGTGCCGCCATGCCGCCAGTGACCGAGCGCACCCCTGAGTGGCTCTCTGGGAGCGTCCTGCTCCGTCTTCTTCTTATCTGGCCTGAGCCGGCCTTCCCTGCAAGACCCTGAGTCCTGGCTCCTTAAGCTCTCCTACCCAGCCCCTGGGCTGCGACATCAGAATGACCAGAGTCACTTCTATAGCATTGTTCGTACATCTCCTTCCTTTAAGAGCAGCCTTTTACCTCTTTCCCCAGCCTGGAATGAGCCTCCACAGGAGAGAGCCCTCCCCACTCACCCCTGGTTCCCGTCCTGGCCCCAAGCTGACCCTGAACCCACATACAGAAGCACCCCAGGAATATTACGGGGCGGGAGGTGGGGCGGGGGCAGGACTCAGCAGGCGCCGTCCTTCCTATCCCCCCACCATTTCCCAAAGTGCTCGTCATCCTCACCAAGAGACAGTGGAGAGGTGGACGGTGCGGTCGTGGCCATCATTTATTTATAAAGTGCTGGGCAAGACGAACGGCAGCATTAGAGCAACACCCTGAGTATGTGGGGGTCTGGGGCGGACCCTGCCCACTGAGCCCCACCCAAGGATCCTGGCATTCTGCCATCTCTCACTCGAGCTCTGCCAGCTGCTGGGAGCTGTCTTCAGGGGGCTCTGTGCTGGGCTGTGATCCACGGGTGGGCAGCAGCATGGGGCATTTACAGGAGACCAATGCTGACCCAAACCTCCAGGCGGCAGCCTCTGCCCTCGTGATTTCTTGGGGACCCAAATGAGTCTTCCAAGGCCACGATGCGCCCGGCAGTCCCCTGTGATCACAATGCACTTTCATCTCATTTCCTGCGTCTCCACCGCTCTGGCAAGGAGGGGGAGGCAGTGGGTGCCCCGCTCCTGTGAAGGCCTGCGGGTTCAGAGAGAACTGCAGAGTTAGAGCCAGGAAACAAACCTGCTGCATCCAAGCCCAGGGCTCCTTCTCTGGGTTTGGCTTCCTCCATCTCTTGGCTGCCTCCTCCACCTCCCGATGCTGCGAAGCCCAGGGCCAGCCCGGATTGGCATGGCCAGGACCTGCTCATTCGATGAGGCCAGCCTGTAGGGTGCTCATGGGCAAGTCTGATTGGTGGTCGGTCCGCAGGGTCCGGATTAGTCATTCACCTGGTTAGTCACAGTGTCCACTGGCTGCAGGGCTCCCTCCAGCCCCCTCAGCCCCATCTCCCAGCCAGAAAACCCTTCCTGCCTTGGGCCCGAAGTTCATCTCATGCAAATGGAAACTCTTTTTCTGGGAAAGCTTAACCTCTCTGACTGTTGAGTCATTAAACTCCTCCAGGGGCCCCAGCCCCATCTATTCATAGCCCGGAGGCTGTCAGAGCAGGAAGGGACTTCAGAGATCAGCGGGTGCCGCCCCCCCCCCAACTCTTACTAATAAGGAACCCAAGGAGTGAGAGTTAGCACCGCCCAAGAGCAGAGAGCAGCGAAGTCTCACCCCCCGGGCAGCCCCTGCCCCAGGTTCTCCTGGTTCAAGAGGCTTCTATTAGCACCAACCACAGCAACACCACCAGGACCAGCCAGGACCACTTATTATCCCCACACCGGGGACTCTGTACCAGACGCTTCCTCCCCGCACTTGGTTCCCTCGCCAAGCTCCAGGACGGGCGTTGCTGCCCCCTCTTTCCAGGGGGGCTCTGACTGTAATGGACTCACCCATGCCCTTGCAACTTGAAAGCATTGGCAGCTGTCCAAACGCACCCGGATCTGTTGCCAGTTCTTTCTCGGCCTCCAGGACCCAGCCCCGACCCCTGTATCCCGAGCAGCCCAAGTTAGCAAGGTGCAGGGAAAGTAGCAAAGCTCTCTCCAGCGGGAGCGGGGCCGCTGAGCCGTCACACGGCTGCCAGCCTCTGCTTCCGCCATGCCCCAATCAGCCAGGCCCCACGGCCAGGGCTGTGCCCAGCAAAGGCCTCCCAGAGACGGCCCGGTGCCCAGGTGCCTGATCTCCCACAGGTCCCTGGCAGCCTGGGGCTCTAGGGCAGCAAAGACCGCTGCAGCTGGAGATCAATTCTCTGCTCTCCGACTTCTAGTCCCTTCCCAGCCCGGTCGCCGGGGCTACGGCATGGCCAGAGAATCTCATAGGTGGCCCAGGAGAGACCCTGTCCTTCCTCCCCTCTTCCCTAGAATCGGAGAGTAGAGACGTGCCCAGCTGCCGCCACCCCCAAATCCCAGAGCCTTCAAGTGATTGAGGGAAGTTAACGTCAGTAGCCGTTCAACTCAGTCAGTCGCCAGAGAGGGGCAGTGACTCTCTCAAAGTCACAGGGCGTTTGTCAGCCGCAATCCTGATTAGAATCCAGCCGTTGGGCGCCCCTCCTGCAGCGTCCCTCCCTCTGGCCCTTCCTTCCCGCACAGCCCACCCTCTGCTTTGGCCACTCCGCGCCTTCCAGTAGGGCTGCTGGGAGGGTGGAACTGGACTTAGAAGCCAGAGTTCAGGGAATCGACCCGAGCCCCCCGACTCCCATTGCCCCTCATACCCCCACAGCCCCGATGTGTGTAACTAGGCTTTCCTTGTTTTCCTTTGACAAAATGGTGAGGCTCGCTGCCTCCTGGGGTTCACTGGGAGGAAGGGGGAAGGGCCTGGCACAAAGGAAACCTGCCATAACGGCCAAGACAATTATGGGGAGGCTCAACATTGGCCTTAGAACCCCCGGCCCCCACCCAGAAGCAAACCTGCCTCCTGAAGGTCAACTGTGACCTTGACCCACTACCTTGACTTTGGAATCAGGGTCTGCCACACCCCTACCCTTTCTCCTCCCAGTCCCACTCCCCCACTCCCATCTCCCCAGCTCCTCAGTCCACCTGGGATGCTTCCCCCTTCCACCAGAAGCTACTGTGGGAAAGTAACTGGGGAGAGAGAGAGAGAGAGAGAGAGAGAGAGAGAGAGAAAGAGGTGGGGGGACCATGGCAGGAGCAAGCAGGCAGAGGCTGCAGCCACTGATTCGCTCGGACTCTCAGTCTCCTCATCTGTGAAATGGGTATACTGTCCCAGTGGTCT